AAATTAAATGAAAAAAAAAAAAACCTTATGGACTTAAAGAAACTAAATAAAATAATAATGCTGATAGTGGTTGAATTCTTGTTTGTAAAATATTGAAAAACATTTTTATGACAATTGGTAGGGAGAGAAAAACAAATAATGTTTATTGACTTTATTCATTGTTTACATATGGAAGGAGTTGGGAAAGGACTTTTTTGTTTCTTCCTTCATTGAAAGACTTTTTATTCAATATGAAAATCGAATTGTTAAAACTAAAAGTAATAATCAAGTTCAAATATCATTTCTAATTCAACGATCATTTTTTTTGGTGACTACAATATTTTTTCATTTTTACACAGGATTTCAAAGAATATGATGCAATTTTTCTTTAATCAGTTTTAAAAACTTTCCTAATTTAATCAGAAAAAAAAACAGTTTCAGTTTTATTTCTTTTCCATTTTTTTACCATTGAAGTTTGAAACGTTAAAAAAAACAAAAAAAACATTCATTACATCTTCACGTTTTTTTTTACCTTTTTCATAAAATTACGAAACTCAAACATTTCGAAGATAATTTTCAAATATCCTTTAATTGCTGAGGGTTTTAGAATTAGAAACAAAAATTTAGAACAGAATTACTTATGGTATTTTTTATCAAAGAGAATTTCTTCATAATATGATCAATATGATTTTTTTAAAAATAAAAAATTACAATTTACCATGTTTATGCTGTCAAAAAAGTAGCAAAAACAGGTTTAATTTTTTAACAATGTTACTTTTTTACACAATGACAACCTGTTCAACTGTATTTTAGCAATCGAAATTGGTTTATTTTGAAAATTTATTTAATAAAATTAATCTTTACTTGGATTATTAAATTTTCGAAGAAATTAGCGCTTCTTCAAATTCCTAGTTACGAACCAGAATTGACAACTTAAGAAAATTAAAACAAGAAATTTAAATTACTGCAAATAGTAAATAAAATCTACTTCAAATTAAAACAATAATGAATATTTAATTTCCGTAAATAAATCGAGTTTTACTTAAATTTTAGCGTATTTTTACCAATTGGGCCATTTTTCAACACACTCTTCTTGCAAAAAACTTAAGCACTTTCAAAACTTCTGGAATAATCAAATATTTTAAAAAGGGTAAAAAACACAAAAAAACAAAAAAAAAACCCATCGAATTTCGGCATATTGGTAAATATTAAAAAATATATTTTCTAAATATCAGCAAAAGTTTAAAGCGTAATTTTAACGAAAAAGGTTAAAACAGTTTTAGTTTCTGTTTAAACAAAAAAACATCAAAGCGTGTCATAATTAATGTTTAATTGCCTTGGAACTTTTGTCTTGATGGAAACGTTTTTGTTCGTGTTTCGTCTTTTGCTAGATATATCAGTACTAAAAAGGCACATGACAGATCGTAAATACTTACATCAACTTCAATTTCTCCACATCCAGTAAAGCTAAAATTCTGAAGATCAGGATGAAACTGCAGAGTATAATTTAAAGGAACGACAGATCTCGAAAGATGTTTAAATGATCGTTTTTCTGGCATTGTGTTCTTTTTTCTTTTCTTTTACCGACTTCTCTCTAAAAAGAACAATAAAATAAGAACAAATCAATGAATTATTTCAAATATTTATATATGCTTTAGCACTAGTTAAATTATTACAATTAAATAAGAAGGAAATAGTGTAATTTTAATATAAGTAACTGTAATATTTTTAGTGAACTTAAAAAATGCAAACTGAAAACTAAAGCCGGCTCTTTAGTAGCCGGCAACTTTAAATGGGGGAAAAAAACTCACTAATTATAAAATAGCGCCAGTTCCCACTCAACAAGTTATACAGAGACTAGTCTGGGTAAAGTTGGTTCTATTTTTTTTTAACGTGGCAAGTTGTTGAATAATAATAAGTCTGTTAAAAGTGTAATAAAAATAAAGATCTTTACAAGCGCGCCACCAATCACAACTTAGTTCAAAATGGACCTTGTTCGGCGATACCACGTGATCACATTCCACTTCCGCCTAATGTTCAAAACCGGGTTTCCAAGAAGAGATAACTTGATTTTTATTAATTGCGCACACACACACACACACACACACACACACACACACACACACACACACACACACAGAGCATTGAGATAATTTTTTTTAGGAACTTGTTCACTCTTTTCTTATATCAGTAATTTTTTTGTCAATAGATATGAAGAAATAAACAAATTTTGTGAACTAGTATAATGGCAGGTTTGGGGGGTAGGTTTTTTCCCAAAACCTGCCACCATGGTATATCCTCTTTTTTTTGTGAATTATGCCTCTAAAATCTTTACTGAAATTATTTTTCATTTTGTAAAACCAGCTTATGCTCTTACCAAACAATGTAACACTTTCTTTTTATCAAAGTAATTTAAAATTTGGGGGTGAAATCGTCTTATCTTATCAAACAGGTGTAAGTATTCTATTTATTTTTGTATGCATGTGAATATGCACACACACACACACACACACACACACACACACACACACACACACACACACACACACACACAAAACAGTTCAAAAGTTTGAGCTTCTCTGGTAATTTTTTAGATTGCTCCAAAAAGTAGTTGTTTTGGACTTTAAATAAGAGAAAATTATTATACATGGTTAAAAAAAAGTGAGACATGATTTTGTATTAGAAATTTTATTATGACAAAAAGAAAAAAAGCATTCTATGATTAAAATTTGCTCTCGTTAAATTATCCTCCTTTAGCCTTGATTACTGTAGCACAAATTTTTGGCATTCATTGAAAAAGTTTCTCAAAGTATAAGTTTGATAATTGATTCCATTCTTTTTTCAATGACTCTAAGAGCTCTTTTTTATTTTTGGATGTAAAGGCTTCACTCTTCTGTAAGTTCATCCCATACTAACTCTAGGGGTGGCTTTAAATTTTTGAACTGTAGTGTGTGTGTATATATATATATATATATATATATATATATATATATATACATAATATGATAAACATATAGTTTTAAGGTATGCTATATTTAAAGTGCTCGATATCAGGAATATAGCATATGTAAATATAAAAGTGGACATAGGCATAAACACTCAGTAGCAGTCTGTTTCATGCTTAAACACAATTGTCAAGCATGTGCGTTCTGGTTGGACTTGACTATTTGTATATACTGATCACTGATGGATTATGAGTAGATCTGTTATATTATTCTAATAGTTATTAGGTGGACAGTAACAGTTATGTTTTGAATTATTCTAGGGGCTACTGAATGGAAATAATTGTGAATCCAAATGTAGTTTTGTGACTATTTTATAGGCTTATATGTTAATTTTTTTATTAATTGCTTTATTATTCATTGTTGATTGTTATCAATATGTTTACATGTGTTTATGCATGCATTCATAGTTTGGTAATTATTTACTTAATTTATTTACTTATTTATTGATTCTGATTAATTATACTTATTTATTTTTATTTTTTGTTCATTTTTAGTTTTCGATTTTTAAGTAACATAGTAAAAATTTGTTATTGTGTCTGCCTTTTGAGATGAGTTCTGATCATTTATTTAGTAATTTGCATTGGTCTGGAAAGGTAATTTTATGTATTTTCTCTTCCAGACAGAATTTTTTAATTTATTGTTGTAGGCTGATGCTGTTTTCCTTATTTTTCATGATATTTTTGGTGTGGCTTGGTTTTTGTTTTTAATTTCCCTTGCATGTTTAGAAAGCATTGTTCTGTTTGTGTATTTACTATTTGTAAAGGATGTTTTGTATGCATACTCTCTTTGTTTCCAGGGTCCTTCAGTTACTCCCATGTATATTTTTTCTTCATTATCTGCTGATTTTACAGTGGCTTGATATATTACATTGTTCTGTAAGCAATTACTGTTTAAGGGACATTCGTTCTTTACTCTGCAGTTACACACGGGTTTGATTTGTGTGGGTAGTTTGTTGGTTGTTTTCTTGTTATATTTTTTTTATTGTGCCATGTTTTCAGTTCAACTGTAACATATTTTTACTGTGTTTTTGTTGAATATCTTGTGGAGAGTACTTGATGGAGGGAAGTGTTTGTGTATTAGTTTAATGAATATTTTTCTACATTTATTTTTATGTTTTAGTTACACTCTCCACAAGGTATTATTTTTGTTGTTAACTCTCAAAAACAAAGAAATCTATAAATTCACTTTCATCATATGTTTAGGTTTATTAAAATTCTAATCATTGCATTTTAAAAGAGTGAAGGTAGTTAAAATAAAAGTGGTGTTATGGGAAAAAAATGTTCTTTTGACACTCAGTCTTTTAGTGGTTATGAATTTCCATGTTTGACAAAAAAGTTTTCATGTGATGCATTTCATCCTTTAAGACGTCATTGGACTCATAAAAGAAATCAAAAACCTTAACAAGAAAAGAACATGAACAGAGCTTACACGACTGTCACAAAAGTTAAACCTTTTCACAAGACATGCACGCATTGATAACCCTATCAGCAGCAGCACTCCTTTTTAGCTTTTGGGCATGCATAAAAAAACTAAAAAAAACTGGGAGCAAGCATGCTAAAAATCAGAAGAGGCTAGGTCTTTTCATTTTTTTTTAATAGATGCCCATGTCATAGACAATACACCTCACTCACTCTTTAATGCACCTACAGAGTAAGTTCAACTTTTCCTTCATTCTTTACAAAGACTCTTAATAACATTCCTGGAATTTGCACTTTCTTTTGTTTCACTCTCTTGTTTGCCTGTTTTCTCAACTAATTTAACACTTTTACTTTTTGTTCATCAACACAAGACACCCTCTCAACTTCAAACAAGGACCTATAACTTAATAACAGTTTGGTGACCCAATTTAGAACTTTAAATGCCAACCTCTAACCTAATAACAACAGTTTGGTGACCTGACTTAGAATACCATCAAAGCAACCTACCTGAAATGATAGACATACAAATGCAAGAAAAAACAGAGAGAAAGAGACAGAGAGAGACAGAGAAATTAGTCTTTAAAAAAATAGCTAACATCTTTCCCTTCCTCATCATGTTATAATCCTCAACATAGACTGATTGTTCCACACCCACTTCAGTCCCAGTCTGAGAAAAAAGGCTACTTTCTTTATGTGGAAAAATGTCTTTGCTAAATATGAAAGTATAAATTCAAACTAATCCTTTTCTTCTTTTTCATTGACCGCTAATAATTTAATACAGTGGCTGGCAGTTTTCCTTTCTAAAAAAAAAAAAAGAAAGAAAGATGACCACTAGTCTAATAACAAGACAACATCAGCAAGAAAGGAACAAGAAAAAATGAGTCATAACCACAGAACATTCATAAAAGAAATTTGAAAACATTGGTAAGATAAGAAAAAGAAAAAAGTAACTTTAATGATGTTGCCAAAAGTGATTTGAGAAAAATGAAAAGGGTAATAATCAAGAGAAATGTGGGTGTAGCAACAAGAATATACTTGAAGAACATGTTGTTGCAAATGTTAGCAGAAATAAAAGATTGAGAATATTAAAAACATTGGCTAAAAATCTGAAAGGAATCAAACTACCATTTTTAAGTAAACATCACAAAGTGAAACATTAAGTTAAATGAAGAAGTACATGAAAATCTGATGGCTGATGTAGAGATTGGATGATTCATGGAAACAGTTAACCATCTTGGAAGACAAGAGGAGTAATGTTTTAGGCTTGTATTGTAGGTAGTAAAATTAATGGTTCTTTCAAAGTTAATACTTGTCCTAAGACATTTTGGAAATATGTATCTTGAGTGGTACAGAGCAAAACCAAGAAAATTATGGCTAACATGCATATTCACACAAGATAATCTCTTTGATATTCTGCAAAGCTAGTTATTATCCAACTTGCAAAAAAATGGTTTCAAAGGCATCAAATTGATGGAATGGTACCATCTTCATTCAGATATTACACCAATAGAAAATATATGGTCCATCATTAAAAGAATTGAATATGTGAATGGAAAACAATATTCAACATGAGGAATTTAAGGGAAAGAATATAAAAAGGTGTGAATTCAAAACTACTCTCTTTTAATTATCTGAGAGAAACCTTTTTTACCTTTCATCAGCATGGCTGATGCTAACCTCTTGGAGAGTGACTCGTTGCATTTTCTTGGACTCATGTATTCAACTGATATAAAGTGGAAAGTGTATATTGAATCAATTTCTGAGTCTGCTGCTAAGAAAGGTGGTTCACTGTATCATGCAAAACAGTTTTTCTCTCCACAATCTATCTTACATATTTATAAGTCTACCATTCATCCATGCTTTGAATATTACTGCCACATCTGGTCTGGTGTTTCTACTATATATTTACAGATACTTGATTAAGTACAAAGAATCAGCAATATTATTGGTTCTGACCTGGCATCTTGGCTTCAGTCCCTTTCCCACAACCATAATTTTGCTTCCCTTTATTTTTTCTATAAATATTTTCATTGTAATTGTTCAGATGAACACTTTGCCAGGATATCTAGGCTTTATGAATTTAAGCACTAGATTGGTGGCAAGGTCTCATCAATTTACAGTTGAAATGGTTAAATGTAACTGTAAGTTCTATGCTAAGAGTTTCTTCTCTTGCACTTCTCGCTTGTGGAAATCTCTTCCAGCTCCATGCTTTCCAGCCAACTTTGATCTTCAAAAATTTAAATGCATTGTCAATCATTATCTACTGTCTTCGTGATTACTCTTCTGTTGTTCTTGCTCCTTAATAATGTTTCTCTTTTTTTCTTATTCTTTCACACTCAGTAATCTCTTGTGTCTTAGTGGCTTTGCATTGGGTGAAATGATTAAAAAAAACTGCAGAAAAGTTTGAAAAGAAAAAAAAAACAGTTGAAAGATTGATGACAGTTATAGAATGTCGAGGAGCCAAAATTAAAACATGTAACATAATAACATAATCATTTATTCATACATATAGGATACTGTGTTTATCAAATAAATGTTTGTATGACCTATATATTTTGGAAATATTTCTAAGTAAAAATTTGTTTCACTTTGTTTGCATAACACAACCTGACACTGATAAAATAAGTTAATATGTTTAATATGGGTTGAGATTACATGCTGAATATTATTTGGTATATTACACATATTATTATTAAAATGTTCTCTCTTTCACTCTTTCTATAATAGTCTGTTAATATCTATCTATCTATCTATCTATCTATCTATCTATCTATCTATCTATCTATATGGGTAAAAAAATCCATGGGTAAGTAATCCAAGTAGATTCTATTAATATAAAATATTAAAACTGATCCCCAAAAGAGAGCACAATATAATTTTTATTATAGAGCATGTAAGTGAATTGCAATTAATGAGAACTAAATAATTTACCTCATGCAGATGATCATTTTGTCCATGGGAAAGTAGTTTTTCCTGGATTTATCAATGCAAATACAGTTTCTAAAAAAACAAAAAAATGCCAGGTCAGAACTAATAATATTGCTGATTCTTCTTTGTAAGAATCTGTAATTTTTTTATATATTATATTTTATAATTAATGCAATCATTCTTAACTGAGCCCTGAGAAGTGAGAAATCATGAAATTCTGAATTGACCTCTGATAAGATCTATCTATCTATCTATCTATCTATCTATCTATCCATATATACACACACACACATGTATATCTATATATAAGGTGTATTTTGACAGCAAGAATTTTCTCAAACATGTTTCATTAAATAATATGGACAAGTTCTGTATATCAATTTTTTTTATTAAATCTTTCAAATTTCTGAATAAGTTGTTTTGTTTTATTGGTAAATTTGACAAAATTCATATTAACTTTTATTTTATATTATTTTTCCTGGGTACCTTCAAATGATACTCCAATCATTTTCAAGGATTGTTCTATGTGTAGTTACAGAACTGGTTTTTAATTCTACCATTTGCATATTTCATGGAATCAATTTCAACTTTCAAGGTGATGTCATATAAATGGTCAAACTGAAATTTTTCTCTGTGTGTGTGTGTGTTTATTTTAAACACACTTCAGTATACAGTCCCTGATAGAGAAAGACACCTTATACAATGTTGGCTGCTTCTTTTTTATTACAACAGCCTCCAGAATTTGGTGTCTTTCTTTGCACTGTGTCCTCTATAAACATTTGGTGTTGTTAACTGAAATTTGTCTAATGATAATATAATTTTGTCTATTTGTCATATTTTCATCTATAATAATTTAACCTATGTGAGAGTGTGATGCATATGTGGCCAATGTAAGAATTTAATGTTGGTTGTTGATTGGCAATACAATCTCCCAAAGAACATAAAACTTCATAAACAACATTATTTTTACATAGGTTAGATTTTTGTGGTGGTGAATTATTTTTAAGAATTAGATTGGATGTTTTAAATTTTTTATAATAGATGATAAATCTAAAGAATTTTGTTAGGATCTATATATATAATGGTGGATGGTGGATATATAGGATCTATTATATAATGGTGGATCACAATTTTAATTGTCTTTTCAGCTTGTTTATAATTACAAGGCATCTATTTACAGTAAAACAATTTAATGCATATGTTTATAGATGTATTTCTGAAGAATTAATGACTTTATTGCTCATCTGACTTTTATTATGTCAATTTTTATTACTACTTTATTATAGCGGACACTTGTTTTTGATGCCTCATTTTTATTTTAAACTGTAGAAACTTTATGCACTTATCTTAGCAAAGCTCAATGGAAGTGGAGAAACAAGTGAATTCAACTGTAATCTTGTGATGAAAATATCTTTCATTATATTATTTCGTCTTCATAAAAAATATATTGAAATGAGTTCCAGTTGACACCATCAGATTTTCAGGGGAGTCAAAATTTGCATATGTGTTCAAAGAGAGATATAAAAATGTAAAAAATAGAAAAAGTAGTAGCAGTATTTTTTTTTCTTCCTTTGTTGTGACCGTGCTCTGTTTTTCAAAGCTGTCTGGACATGTTACTGAAATTGTTAATAAGAGTCTTAACTTTTTTTTCCAATATTACTTCTACAAAGAGAATTACTCATAGGTGACATGTAGTGTTTTTTTGTCGCAATTCTTTTGACACAAATGATTGCCACCATGAGACTACACCAGTAACAAGTGAGAATTCATTATCATTTATTTCTGAGTTTTATGCTAATAGTTGCCATTAGAGTTTTTCTATCCTCCCTTTCCCCAAACAGTCAGACTTGAAATTCTGACAAAACAGTGTGTATTATATCTATTGGCCTGAACATTTGAGAAGTTTTAATAATAAAGAAGATGTATTCTCTGACAGAGATCGTACCTGTGTCCCCCTTTGAAGGAGAAACCATCATTTGATCCAGCATACTTTACTGCTTGACCACAAAGAATGCCACAATTAAGCAAGGCTCTGTTTTCTCTTGTTAAGGAAAGCACGTTCTCGTCACTCAGATTATTTTTTCTCAAATGCACATATTGGCTCAGTTTCATATCTGAAAAGTAAACAAAGCAATTCCTAAAGAATTAATGGATTCCCTTAAAGATTGGGATGAAGAACAGAGAACACCAGAAAGTGTTTGTTTGGACTCTAGTCATCAGATCTAATAAGGTAATTTAATTTATTGCCCCTCTTATCCTCCAAATTCCCAACACATTTTACTTACGCACAGTTTTGGCTTTCATTCCAAGCTGAAGAAGCTGAACCCAACACAGGTCATATCAGTGAAACATATTGTTTAAAAGCTCTTCCACTTTGTCTCATCATCTCCATTTTTATTTTGGATACTTTATACATCCTGCAAACATGCATACATACATATATATATATATATATATATATATATATATATATATATATATATATATATATATATATATATATATATATATTAATGTATATTTGGGCAACAACCTTTCTTTTTAAGCATCTTTTGTTTAATATGGCAGACAAGGAGTATTGAATTAATATTTTATTTAGTTTTACCAGTGGCCTTATATTTTTCTGTTTGGTGGGACTAAGGAAGTGCCAAAATTTTCCATAATGTCCAT